TTGTTTAATTTTCTTCCTTCCTCCCTCCCTCCTACCACTTCAGGAAAGAGGTGAACAGTCAGCAATGTCATTCCTCTTTCCCACCCAGTGGACCATAGTTAAGAGCTGGGGAAAGTTGAACAACAAAATAAATTGGACCTGCCCTGTGATTTCTATTTAAAAACTACTTGACGATTCTTGTAACCCTGCTGAAAATGACACAGATTTTGAGGCTTCAGATCAGATGCTTCTTCGATGTATTTCAAGAGTGAAATGAAGTTGAAATATACTAAGAAAAAAAATCCTTTTTCTCACAATAATGGAAAATAAGTGCACTTGTTAAAATTTTCAAAGGACAGACTGGAGATCTGGCAAATACTTTTTAATATGGAAAACAATGACTATACTGAGAGGGATACAGAAACTCCCTGACACAATGCAAGTAACATATATTCATGAGTTCCTTTAGGCAGTTTATGTGCTAAACCTACAAAGGCATGTACAAGTTCAACTTAATATACATACGTATTCTATTTGGAGCTTGTGACAGAATGATAAAAAAAAAAGCCTCATGTAACACAGGTATGAGATATATATTATATTCCTTGTTTTTTCTCACATCATTGTATTTACTTTAGTCAACTGTAAAACCAAAAATATAATAAGAATACATTCCAATGTGCAGAACACACTGAAGGAGAAAATAGAAATGTTGAAGTAAGCTATTTGAAAACTCTACCCCTCAACCAACCTCAAAAAAAAATTTTTGAGGAAAGGCAAAAAATTATCTGTGTTCCTCTCTATTTCAGTCAACAACGAGAAACTCCATGCAGTATGGGGTAAGAGTAATGTTGTAACTTCATCTCTGAATTTCCTAGCATCATGAATTTCAGAGAGGTGCTTTATCCTAGCTTTACTTGCCTGCCAATTTAATGTTTGATAGTTTATTATTTAATTTAGGAAAGAGGAATAGACTATAAGGGGAAAAAACCCAAAACAAAAAAACAAACCTTATCTGTACACACGATCTGTTTTCTGGCTATAAAGGTCTTAATTTTTGCTGGTTTCATTTCTTATTGTTAACATTCATTGTTTACCATAAAAGTTCTGGTTCTTTTTCTTAAAAAAAGAACAAACTTTTGTATGGTTCCCATATAAAACCATCAGACCTCCTAACTTATTTTCTAAAATGGATATTTTCGCTTGTCTTTGCAGCAAAATTAAAATGGATAGGGATATGCATGAGAAAATGACCAACAATAAGGAAAGGAACCATTTTTTTAGGTAACAAGGTGGACTTTCTAATACCAACAGAATTTATGGTCATTTTACTATTAGCTTTTAATTTTTAATTTTTTATTAGTTTTGCTAATTATGGTACTGTTTTAGAGTTTTGGCTGGACATATTTTTAGATTAGTTTCCTTTTAAAGTAAGTTCTCCTTATGAATATGCATATTCTTATATTTATTTATACACACAACAAAATTTTAGGAGGGTACTTTTGACCCTTTTCTGAGTGCTTACATTTCCCTGTACTTTGACAGAGCATCACAAACATCAACAGAATCACAAAAAGGTGGGAGGCAAATAAACATATAGTGATTACAAAGATCTAAGCTTAAGTCTCAATGTCATTTTCAAAACAGGTTGTGATAGCGCTGGCACTTCACCTCTGCAACTCAAACGTTATTCCTAAGAAACTCCATGCACTACATCCATTATGGGACCTGCAGTCATTTTCTTCCTACAGCTGGCTGGTCTAGCAACAAAGTATGCCATCTCAGAGGAGTTTAGTCTAAACTGAGTCTTCTATCAGGACTATGATTGACCAGCTCAGTGGAATTCAAGCCAGGAATGTCCTGCAAGCGTTCTGTACACCAATATCCCTTTCCTCACAGATAACTCTACTGGACTCCAACTTACTTCATTCATGTCATTACTTAAGATCATGTCATTTATTGGATCAAGATTACTCATCTTAATTTGAGTTAATTACTAAAAGCTACTAACAAAAATTGCACTAGTTAAAAAAGTTTCATTCATTAAAAATCACTAGCAATGGATTGTTTTAAAACCTAGTTATCCTGGTGTATTTTCCTCCTTTTAACATCTTGGCATACATTCTCCAGATCAAGGGTCACTTAAGAATAATGGCTGGTAGATGAAGAGAATCCAAAAAATCATGCAGAATGAAAGAGAAGTTCATCTCATGTACCCACTGTTATCCTTTTAAGAGATAGACATTTAAATTTAAATTGCATACCCTTGTTTACCTCCAGAATTAAAGAAGAAATAGAAAGAACTACAGACTTATCTTAAACATTTAACTCAGAATACATACATTGTCTTCTAGAGGCTGTAGCTTCTCAGCACTGTCTATAAAAGTTTATTAGTACAGGTCTAGATTTGTTCCTTTTAGATGCCCATGTGAAAACAAACAAATCCCATCGCACTGGCAAGGGAAGAAATAACACACATGAACAGTACAAACTGCAAATTCACCGTCTGATTCATTAATTCCACAGGATGTTCTTGGAGTTCAGTTTGGTTTGGTTTGGTTGGCAGGAGGCATGGAAAAGGTTCTACTTGGGAAACAAAGCTAAACAAAAGGCAAAGTGAAGGAAAGAGTACATAAAACGAAAAGAGACAAAGGGAGTTGGACAGAGAAACAAAACGGGTGGAAGAGTGTGGCTCATGAACTTAGTGCAGGACTGGGCAAGTCCTAAAGGAAGATCTCCAGAAGATCCCAAATGACTACCTCAACTGTTTCTGAAAACGTAGTATGACGTGATTGAATTTTGGTCCACCTCTGCATTTTCCCTGCATACAGCAGGGAAGTATGAGCACTTGTGTCATCCCCATTATACAATAAAATTCTCCTCTCTACTACCTTAGTCTGGACCAGATGATAAGGAGAGGTGATTCCAGCTGAGCTTGATTTAAACCTCCTACCCTCCAGTGCCATTCCAAGTCCTTCTGCAATGATCTGTAGAGCAAGTATTCCTGTAGAGAGTGACTCATTATCAGTAAGTAAACATGTGTTTTCAATGTAGATAGCAAAAAACTGCACAAATGCGCTAGGATAGTGATTCTCAGATGCTTTCAACCAGTGGATTATCACTAGACCTTACATATGCTGTCAAGGACATCTCATACAATTATTCCTAACTATAGTCTCACAGACCAGCTGTGGGCCTTTTCTGGTCTCCTGGTGAACCATTCTCAGTGCATGGCTTGCAGTTTAAAAGAGTGGCCAGGACTTGGGGGCTGGAATGTGAAAGGCACTGAGAACTGGCTGAACAGTGAAAGAAACTGGTTGTTCTCAACATCAAGCTGAGTGAAACACAAAAGACAAATCTAAGTTTTACTGTAAATCTAAAATTGAATAGATCTAAAAGCCTTTTATGTGTATTCATTTTAAAACCCCTTTTAGTAATCCAGTATATCTTTAGTAACATAGGTGTCAGATTTAGTAATTATTAGGCATATGCAGCTCTCGCTGAATCCAGTCAGAACTGAAGATAACAGAACTGCTAATGTTTGGACTGCTGTCACATACAAAATATTCTTCTATCTTTTAATCCACTTTTGTCCTAAAACAAACTGCCTTTACTGCTGCATAACATGTTGTAGCCTGAAGAAAACCTGCAGCAGTACTATCACTAGATGTGCCCATAACATCATATATTCAAGCTCTGGTAGGTCAATACAAAGCTGCCACGGTATGAGATTGACAAAAGGGAACTTAGGTAGAGGAAAATCCTATTTAATTTTTCTACTAGTACATAATAGAAATACAGTTGATGTTACAAGTACCTAGTTAATTTCCCTTGGTTTTATCAGCTAACAAGCAACATTCCGAATTATTTTTAAAAGTTTGTTTCTACTCACCTTAACAACTGTACTATTACCTGATAATAAGACAGTGCTGTAGTCAAGACTTTCTTCTTTTGACTGCTCATAGTCTATGCTTAAACATTATAAGCATACTTGATTTTATATAAACACAAATATCAACATTTTATGCAATACTTTTGCTATAATTTATATTACTATGGAGAGAAGCTTTCTTTTGAAGCTTTGATGCTAGATATTTTATATCCACACTTTTTCATAGATATCCAAATTTTGATCTTGATAATTTTCAGATCTGTTATTTGTAATTTGAAAAGATTATTCCTGAATAAGGCTTACAAGGCCGAGCTTAGAGTTTTAAATTATGCATGTGAAATAGGACATTAGTAATATTCTTTAAATGCAAATTTATATAGGTAGGATATTTTTCTTGGTATCTTAAAAACAGCCAAGATGATTTAGAGCAGTATGTGATCAACAAGGAGAAGAAATAATTTATTTGGCTATGTTCTGGTCATCGTTTATCATTTTAATGATTAATTCTCAACTGAGGTAGTAGGGATAAGGTAGTGCCTTTTTTCTGTTCATCCTACTTGAAGGAAATGTAAAATGGGAACTATTAGCTCTAATGACTTTTAAATGTTTCAAAACCATCTTGAACAATCGCCAAGGGGCAGAAATGCTAATGTTTGCTGAAGGAACCTAAGGCTTAACTGAATTATCTATTTTCTTATCCAAAGGACTTTGAAGTAGCATTGCTAAGAGATTTATTGTTCTTCTGAAGACAATTACCCAGCACTGATGAGAGAGGGAGGGGCTACATTCACTCTTCCTAAAATCAATTTTTTTTGAGTCAGGAGCATGAGTCTGACTGGTCAGCCTCAGAGAGAGATAGCACGGTTACCCGTTGTTTCTTATCTTGGGGAGGAGGAAAAATAAACAAGGCCCTTGTCACTCGATCACAGAGGAGAGGATCACAACATTACAATTTACAAACCAGCTATTCAGTCAGAATTAATGGGAATAGGTTCACAAAAGCAGTGAAATCGATGAAGCCCCACAAGCATCAACTGAGAAGAGGCTCTCAAAGATAAGGCCACAATTTCAGCACACAAGTTCAGCAGAGAAGCCTTAAAAAGCAACACATCTAGAAGCACCCACAGTATCACAAACCAAGAACTAAAACTTTTATTTCAGTCCAGAATTGTACATACCATGAACCCCCAAAAGCACTTTTGCACTTTAGTAAGTATAATGGACACTGTCACATTTTGAGTCCTGGGGTGATAGGTGAGTGCATGAGCAACACATATCCATACTGAGGACAGACACCAAGAGATGATGGTTAACAGCAGGTCCAGGGAGACAGCAACAGCAGTGTATTTTTAACAAACACTCCTAGTGAACTGGACCAAATTGCTTCCAGGACAGCCTTGCTTAAAACCTTGGCCACCCTTTAGGAATTCAAGTCTTAATTGGCACGTGTCTGGCCATGGCAGAGAAAGTATCAGCTCTAAACCAGGGAAGTGTTATGTAGGAAAAGTCACTTCCATGCAGGTTGTTGGGTGCCCACTTTATGCATTTTTCAGTAGTTATTTATGGAGTGATAGCATACATGCATTCACCAGTCATTTCTCACTTTCTAAGAGGCAGCTATGGTCATACCGTTTCATCACCATCCATACTTGGTTTTATTTTTTTTTTTATCATGGAAAGCTTCCCAAACATGTTTTTTTCCTCTACTCTTAATAGTAATGTAAATTATTGCTATCCTACTCTGCTCTGTTTTTTCCCTTCTACTCTCTCATGCCTGATCAAAGTCTTTTAATTGGTCAGATTCTCCATCAATTCCAGGATTTGTGCTTTGGTTTGTTTTTTCTTTGCATGTAGACATTGTGCCCTTGTTCATGAAATATCGTTCCGCTCTTTCATCTTGTCTAGGACTGCAATGGTGCTGGGCTGCAGTGGTACCTGAAAAGAGCATGTAAAGAAAAAACAGTTAACATATTAAGTTCAGTGCAATAACTATTACTTCTCACATTTCTTTGCTTATTCTTTCAAACTTTCAGCCTTCTGATCCTGCAGTATCACAAGACTATCACAGTAGAAGAACATAAAAGTAAAAGCAAAAAAAAAAATTAAAAAATGTTGGGAGGGAAACTGAATAGAGAAAATAAAATCAGCTATTTTAAATTATCATATGCATTCACAAGAGGAAACATATCATGCACAAATCCTGAGCTCCTGAACAATCAAGAAAAAGAATTTTGAGCTGATAAAAGTGCAAATGTTTACAGATAGGTCTCTTCCCTAAGGGTGGGGTGAACGATTTCAGGATGAAATGGTGATATTGTTTTGTTTCACAAGGTCATTCCTAGGTTGCAGGGGTGAACAATAGAGCAACTTGGTCATTGTGGCACCTACAAGACGAGTGAGTGGTCTATTGTTTGCTTATCTAGGTGGCCGTTTAGTCTTTTAGGCAACAGATTGATCTTTTAGGATGTAGGATAGTGGAAACATCACAAGACGAAGCCTTCAGGGCCTGTCGGGAATCAGGGCAGGACCTCAGCCAGGAGCATGGAGAACAGGAATCTTCTCTAGGGTGGACTGCAGAACGTGGTCAAACAGTGGTCACAGCTGAGAAAGACGACTGGGAAAAGTGTAGCTCGTATGGAAAACATTCGGTTCTGTAAAACCCGTGGAAACTTTAGACACTCATCTCTCCCTGCTCAAATAGAAATATTTTCCTGACTTCTCACACTTTCTCTGTGCTCTCCACTTTCATGCAATTTAATAAATTGACTGAGTTTAAACGATATCAGCACTAGCAGAATAGCCGAGAAAACAGTTTCCATAAAGTTAAGATCTATACACAAAGTATGAAAAGTCTGTTTTCTACTTTCTCTTCTCAGATCATGCCCATCATGAGATTTGGCCAAAAGGCCCCTAGTTGATATGGGATGGTGAGGTGGTCCCTCAGACCTTTCATCACCTTATTAATTTTTCACCAAATATTGTAACAGTCCAAATTCTCCAAATTCATACTCTTTATGTTAAAAGTCTCATAGTAAGTACATTACATACAGGCAACCCACTTAAATTCTCTGCGACACATTTTCTTCATCTGTTACAATGTATCATGATTGTGTTTGTAGAGTGGTAGTCATAGAATAAGGTGAGGTGTTGGCACTTATTTGTCAAGCCTGGCCTTTTCAAAATGTCTGCAAAACTACCGTGAATTTTCCTGAAACAGTAATGTTTCCTCAAAAGTTAAATGAAAGATCTCCAGAAATATTCCTTTGTGCATCTTGGTTTTACTTGCTTTATACCATTGGAGACCTACATTACATGGAATGTTTTCTGTTAGTCAATTACACGTATTAACCTTTAGAAATAGCAGGAGCACCTATTTTCTCACCAAAAAAAAAATTATTAAGAGTGTGGGAGATGGAGTATTAATTTGGAAAACATTTTTAAATCCTCAGGAAGAAGATTCTGTGGAGACAGAAGAAATTTCTTATTTTCAGTCAAGGTGCTGCATGTTTTTTGCTAACCCTGTATAACAGTGAAAGAGGAGCATTAAGTAACTATTATGCCTTGAAAAATGTATCCACTTGGAGAATGCTAGTATAACAGTATCACAAAAAGTTGATGTTGATATGTACCCTTCCCACATTTGCTTCCTTCCTGTGAAGAAAATAGGACAGTATTCCTATTTCATAGACAAAGAACTTAAGCACAATATACCTACCTTTCCTCAAGACAAGCAGAAGCAGGTACAGACACGTACCCAAACTGCAATGCGTTAAACACATCATCTCCTTTAGTTGTACCACAGCTAGTTTTATCTGCCTTAGAGCTAGGAGAGGACAGAACTGTGCAGAACACATCTGCCAGTCCTACAAGCTGTATCAAGAAATGCAATTTCCAAGTGCCTGGGGAAGCCTCCCTGAGCTACAGCCATCAGTGCAAAGGAGGGTGCTGAACTGCAGACAGAAGGAAAGAAAATTTCTTTTATATATGTTCAGATAGTTTTATATTCTCCTTTTCGGAAGAAATGCAAGAAATCTTGCAGGATTGCTTACGTCATTATTTTGATTTTTCAATTGACCTCTGGATATGGAGAGGTAAGGTAGTATTTTTAGCAACATCAAAATGGGCAGAAGCCATTTAGTGCTCACAGTCTCCTTTGATTACTGCTCTCGAACAAGGAGAAAAATGTAACAGAGATTCAGGTAAGAAAGAAAGAGACAATGAACCTCAGGCAAGCCATAATAATAACGTAATTAGGATGATTTATTTATTTGCCAGCCTTTGTGGGCTGCTTTGTGCTGACTTCATCCTGTTGCTTTAACCCTCTAGGCTCTGCACCATCTCGGGTCTGCCACTGTAGTGATACATAAGCTTCTCCGTTTCCTTTGCAGCACTGTTTCTGACAGCAGTGGGATTTGAACGGTAACAAAAGCAAAGAAGGGTATTACCTATGCAGGCTCAAAGAACCTGACAGCCTGGGACACAGCTGGCCAGTCACTCCACCGATATGCCCAACAGAGGGGTGGGAAATGTGTCAAAACACAGCTCAAAAAACCACACAAAGGGGTTATGGAATGACATACAGCTTATGCATGGGTATTTTTCTTTGCGGGGGCGGGGGAAGATCTACTGCACTGGAAGGGGAGAACTTAAATCAGGGTTTTCATTTCCAGTTTAATTCCCAGCCCTGTTATTCCCAGCATCTCCCCAGAGAACTCACTTGGGCTCAAACGCTGATAACCCCATTTGTTTTTCTCTCCCCAACCGAAGAGCCTTCGGCTGGAGACTGGGAGGCGTTGAACACCTGCGGCCTCCGCAACCTCCCCGTTCTCCCAAGGGAGCTGCCAGGGTTCCCCGAGAGGCGGGCACGCCTGACGAGAGGCTGGACCCGGAGCTCCCCAGTCCTCACCACGGGCAGCGAGCGACGCGCTCGTTCCTGCCGCTCCGGACCCGCCCGGCGGCCCCACGCACAGGAACCTCCCGCCGCAGTACACCCCGGCAGCTCCAGCAGAGTCTCGCCCAGGCTCCCCGCGCCCGCTGCTCAGCTGCCGCCAGCGCGGCTCCCACCGGCACCGCCCAGCGGCTCTTAGGAGGGGGAGGCCGTGGGGCGACACCATCCCGGGCCCCTGCGGTCCGGGCACGGCACAGCATTGCAGGCACGGCGCCCCCGCGCCCCCTGGGGCAGGGGAGGACCACGCCCCGGGCGCCCGGCGGTCCCTTCGGGCGGCCCCGCCTCTCCCCCGGCCCCGGCCCCGCCCCCGGGACGGGCTCGGCCCCGCGCACGGCTCCCGCCCACCGGGGCAACCGGCGCGCCTCGGTCGGGCCCGGCGACCGCCCCTCCATCGCGAGCTCGCGGCCTCTCCCGCCGCCGGGGGATTCCCGCCCCCGCGAGGCAGCCCCATCCCCGCTGGCGGCGGCCCGCGGCCCACGGGCGGAGGAACGCGACGTCCCGTGTGGCCCCGCCCCTGCCCCGCCCCGCGGGAGCCGCTCGTGGCAAAGTCACCGACCCCCGAAGCCCGCCGGGCTCCATCAAACGCCGCGGCCCCGCCCGCCGACGTCATGGAAACAACCGCGTCAGCCTCCCGCCCGCCAGTGGCGGCGGCGGCGGGCGGGCAACGCCGCGGGGCCCCGCCCCCGTGGGCGCCGTGCCTACCGGGGCCCCGCCTCCGCCTCCCCCATTGAAGACGCTGCACGCCGGGACCCCCCTTCCTCGGCCGGGCGAGGGGCCCCGGTCACGTGGCCGGCGCTCCGCGGGCGGTGAGGGGGGCGCCACGAACCGGTGGGCACAGCGCCGGGAGGGGAGGGGGCGGTGGGCGCGGTGGGCGCGGGCAAGTGAGTGACCGCGGCGGGCGGAGGCGGGAGGCGGGCGGATCGCCGCGCTCCGCCCCGCCCCGCCCTGCCCTGCCCGGTGGCGCCCGGCTCCTGTAGCGGGTGCTCTGCGGCGCAGGGGCTCGGCGGCGCGCTCGGCACTGCCCGGTGCGTGCGGGGGAAAGCAGGCGGGCGGTCCCCGGGGAGCGGCCGCGGCGGCGGGAGCGCCCGCGAGGAGGGCAAATCGCCGATTCCTGCCGGTGAGGCGACGGGGGCGGGGCGGGCGGTCCGCGCCCCCCCCCTCCTTCCTCCTCCTCCTCCTCCCCCGGCTCTCCCCGCGCCGGTGCCCCCTCCCTCCCTCCTTACCTCCCCAATTCGGTCGCCGCTTCCCCCCCCCGCCCCTTCTCCCGCCTTCCTCCCGCGGCCGCAGGGCGGGGGCGGCGCGGCGGGGCCGGCCAGGGCGGGGAGCGCGGGGACCTTGTGCGCTCGGCGAGCGAGCGGCAGCAGGTTCACGGGCGCCTCATCCCGGCCCCTGGCTGGTTGCTGGTCGGCCCCACGGCGCCGAGGTAAGCACGGCGGCGGCTCGGGGCGGCTAAGGTCCCGGCTGGCCGGCCGGGGCGGACGGCAGCGTGGCGGCAGGTGCAGTGCTGCTCCGCTTCCCCCGCGGGGCTGCGGGCCGGGCTCGCCAGGGGGGCGGCGTGGCCGGAGGGGCTGGGTGCCGCGCTCCCAGGCTTTTGCCGCTTCTCGGCGCAGGTAACCGGAGCGCGCACCTGGACGCTGCCGTGCAGCCGGGGCACGGCGTGACCTTGAGGGCAGCAGATGCGGAGCTGAGCCTCCACGGGAGCACAGCGCCGCGCCGTCGGGGACCCCGCGGCCGGACACGGCCGGCACGCCACGGCCCTGCAGCCCCCAGTGGGCGGGCGGGCGCGCTCACGCCGCGGATTAAGGTGGTGCTCAGCCCCCGCCGCCCGCCGGGTTAAGTAGCCGGGATTAGCCCGATGCGGCAGCACGACACCGACATCCCTGGCGCTTCTTCGCCGCCCCGCGGGGGCTGGGAGCCCGGCACCCGCCCCCGCGCAGCCTCCCCCGCCGCCTCCCTACGTCCCTCGCCCGCCCGCCCGCCGCGCCCCCAGGGCGGTGTTTTTGGCCGCGGCTGAGTCGTACGCCGCTCTCCGACGGAGCGGGCGGGCTGATTTGATTTATCGATGCCTGGCCGGGCTGCTCATCGACCGGTGTGCGCGGACGGGGAAGGGATGCGGCATCGCTTCGGGTGCTGGGAAAGAGAAGCCCTCGCGGGCGTTGCTCCGCGGGTGAGCCTGACCCCGCGCGGGGCCGCTTCGCGATGGGAAGCGCCTCTCACGGCGGTGTCATCCTCGTCCCGGCGGTGCGTGTAACCTTTGATGTAGCACCACGTGAGTTTGGGAGCTGGCTGGAGCCTCCGCCGGGGGATGGCTGGCCGCTGCCGAGCGCGGTCAGTGCTCGCCGCTCGAGGGGGAGCGGAGTGGGGCGGGTGTCCGCGCCGCTGCCCGCCCGACCTTCCCCCGAGCCCCTCGGTCTGTCGGTAAAGGCTGAGGTCGGAAGGATTTAGGATGTCGGGAGGAAGGTCTCATGGAAAGCTGACGGGCAGAGGTGGTCTGTGGTCCTCGGGAGCGTTTCCTTTAGCGTGGCGGTGCGAGCGGTGTTTACCGGGGGCAAGAGGGGGCTCGGCCTGAGCTCGGAGGCGCGTTTGGAAACCGAGAGCTGTGGGTGAGTCTGTCCCAGGGTTCGCAGCCTGAGGGGCAGCGTATTAGCACAGCTGTAACAGGAGTCTGTGCCGTGCTATGAGTGTTCCATACTCCATATAAATCTTTTTTACGTTTGACTTTTTGAACTGTAGCGGGCGGGTGAAGAGAAAGATGCACAGTAGCAAAATTTCCGTGGCGTTTTTCTTGTCATTTTAAGATCCACACTAGATAAATCTTTAACTATTTGTTATATACGATATTCTTGAATTTGTAAATTCAGGCGCTGAGGCTTTCCTCTCAAGATGTGTTCGGAAGGAACTGGCGGTAGTACCTTACGCTGTGTCTGAAACCGTCATTCTGAGAATGTCGTAGCTGATAGGTGGCCTCACAGTGCTTGAGGGGTGACTAGCTAGGTGAATATTCAACTCGTGTCCCTTCTTAGAAATCAAGTTTCAAACCCACTGTACTTGTGAAACATCCTCCATCATTAGTGGTTGGTAATCTTGATTTGCTGGGGAATGAAATGAGTGTGCCTTTGGAAAACCACTGCCTGTGGAAAAGCTTCTGCATCTTCAAAACATTCATGAGTCCTAATGAATTTGAGTTGAAATAGTGTTTTTCAGGTGGTTGAAAAGGTGTTTGTTAGATAACTTGGGAACTCCTTGGTTCATGATACAGTATTCAGAAGGTGGTAGCTGTAGCTACAGCCAGGGCCATTTTTCCCCCCCGTTTGTTGGAGCATTTCAAGGATTTGTTCCAAACACCACCAATAATGAATTCCAATAGAAGTAAACTTGTGTATCTTTAAACTATTGGCTATTTTGACAGAAATAGCTTCCAGTGTACTAGGACTTTAATGCTTATGGCATAATTAATGGAAACTCTTGGTGTTAGTGGAAAAAGTGGTCACTGAATTCAGTGAGGAAAGAAAACTTGTACACTTGAATGTGAAATTTTTGGTCTGGAACAGCATCGTTGTGTGGTTCGGTTGATTGGTACTCCTACTGTTGATTATGATAACCCACCATGGTTGGATTATTTGACGGAAATGTGGATCCTGTGTTGTATACAGCCACTTGCAGGTTTTCCCAATCAATGCTGCTCAGTGCTGAATTGCAACATTATTACTTCAATTTGTTTGAAGAAAAATGCTGCTTTCCCTGTAGGTTACTAAAATGATACCTGTCAAAACTAATTTTAAAGGGAATTGTGGCTGTGGTCTTTGTATGCACACATACAGTGACTTACTATTGCATATTAAACAGTTGTCTTTGGGAACTTAAAGCAGAAAACAAGACTTGTGTCACAATAGCATTGACTAAACTGTGTATTGGTTTCTTACACAAAGTTGCATTACATACAGATAATGGTATAAGGAAAGGATCCCCATTTGTGTAGTATTCATTCAGCTAATAATCTGGGAGTGATCCTGCCAATTAAAATGCACTACAGTCTAAAGAAGTTAGTCTCATTTAGAAAGGCACTCTTGTGGACCTCAATATAAAGAACTTGTTTGTTTTTTTTTTTTTACTGTTTGAATTTATTCAGAAAAGAAGAATATGATAAACTGGAGACAGTCATAAGATGAAGATACTAAGAAGGGAGGAACATAGACTGAATCTGTTGAAGCCACCTCAAAAACAGATGGTTTGGAAGAATTGACTTTGCCAATATTTAAGATTTTAGAGCTGGGAACTTAATATTAGCTGACAAGTTCAAAATGGACCTGGCAAAACAAGTCTCCCTTGACATAAGGTGGACAAGATAACCTAAAGTATCTTCTAACTCAAATTTCTTCCATTAAGGTAGACTAAATATTAATGGCACTGAGCATTCTTTACCGCTGAAATGTGACCTCAGAAATGTCTTTCAGAGTTTGGATTGTTTATTTCAATATATGTTCTCTTCTGTTTTTAAAGAGAAAAAAATATTAGTGCATTTTAGTCAGAGTTGAAGTTGGGTTTCAGTTAGCAAAATTTAATCTAATACAGAATAACGAACAGCCATGATTAGTCCAGGGCATTTAAAACTGAATATCTTTTGAGAAATAAGGAAGACTGCTTGAATCTGTAAGATTTTTTGTTGTAGAAATGCATGCTTACTTTCTTCCAAAAGGATCAATAAACCTGCAATAATAGTCTTAAAATTGTACCATCTAGTATTTGCAACTTGACTTAAAATGAATAATAATAATAATAAAACTTGCTAAAAGTTGCAGTTTGGGAGATAAGGATATTTCTCTGTAGAGTATTTTAATTAAGTATTAGATAAAATCTAGGGGTTGCAGTATTTTGCTTAAAAAGCTAAGATTAACTCTGTCTACTGACTTGCTATAGTGTGTGCAACAGTCTCAAGTAGGTTTATCTGGTTTTTTTAATTCAAACCTGTTAAATTTTCTTTGAAGGCATAATTTTTATTTCTCCTTACAAAATTAACAGATTGAAGAACAAGGAAGGCAGCAGACACAAAGTGATGTTGCTTATTTGGAAAAGTGAACCTATGATGGTATATGTGGAGAGTGGGTATTTCTGACAAGCATTAAGAATTACTAATCTAATTCAAAATAGATTGTCTTTTTAAAGATTAGATTTCTTTACTTTTCAATGACTAATGTTAGTGTTCCCCTAGCTTAGACTTCAATTAGCTGAAAAGACTGTGTCCACTAGTTGAAAAGCAGAGTGATAAAAAAGTAAGGAAGAAAGGATTTTTGTTCATAAAACAGGGCAGTTTCATAGAGAAGAGGTAAGCAATGCTAATACACATTATAGAACGATGATTTTCTGAAGGTAACATGCATCATGAAATCAACAGGCAAAATACTAGACTAACCCATCTTGGAACAGTTATACCTATTAACACTGAATGTAATTTCAGCACAAGTACATCATATTGTCCAATTTGCCTTTTATTTCTAAATTATCAGGCTTTCAAATAGAGTTCATAAAAATAACTTTCTAGTTTTCATGACAAGTTTCTCTTTATGTGAGCAGTAACTTTAAAGGATCTGTCTGTTAAAGCTATTCATATTCCAATAAACATTACGAAAATTATTTCTGCTGCCATTTAAAAATCTTACTCTAAATGACAGATGGTGTTATGGGAGTGTTATTAGTTTAATTTTGGTGAATTGTAAAATAGGCATAAGGCTTTCTCCATTGGTATTTCAAAGGTCTGGTGGGAGAAGAAATGTAAGGAAAATGTAGGAGTCAGTTTGAAAAGTCCAGAAATAGCTCAGAAAATAAATACAAATTCTTTTTGTCCACTAAGACATAAAATGTAATATGCTATTACAAGACAGACAAATAACAAAGCCTTGCCTTTGAAGGGGAATGGACCGAGGAGGAGAGTATATCTACCTTGGCTGCTGTTTGCAACTGTGCTGTGCAGTTAGAGTGCATGGATGCATTTTGAGGATGACAGTTGATAAACTTTGGTGCTGGCCACTCAGTCTGGCTGGTTTTGCCACATAAAACATGACCAGTCTCAGCACTAGGGGTAGTGCTGGCTTATTGCTGGCAATTTTCTGATGCTGCTTT